CTGCTAACCATGCCCTGCCACGCTCTCAGCAGCCTTACATAACTGCCTTGTGCAAGCTCTGCCTCGCCCACTAATTGGGTGTTGCCCTGATGCCCAGTGCTGCCCCTAGGCCCCTGCGCACCTGGCCCGAGGCCCACACCTGGGGCCACCTAAATGCTGCACATCGCTGCCAGGGATGAAAGAGACGCCGCTCGAGACCTCACATCCCTTTTGAAACCAGCAGAGACCGAGAACCCCCTTTCCGTGGCCACCTCCCCCTAACTTAACCACTTGCTGATTCACGCTCGCCTTCCCCTTCTGGGGAGGCCACGACTGTTATTCTCTACCCTCTCTCCTTTCTGTCCTCCTTCTGCTGTAATTTCTTCATCCCTCCTCCTGTACATCTGGAAGGCTGAAAACTTGGTCTGGGTGGTCTCAAAACAGCCTCCCCGCCCTCTAATTGAAACAAAAGAGGGGGGGGACAGCGATCTGACCTGCCTGGCTCAGGGCCAGCTGGGAACTAGTAGGGACCCAGCAAATGACAGCTGTCATGACTGTCTACCTCCCCAACCCCCATAGGTCAAAAAAAAATTTTTTTTTAATCTGTATTGGCCCAAATCAACACAAAACCTTCACTCTTCTTCTCAGCTCTCTACATGGGATAGACTAACCAGGTACCTGCCACCTTTATGCTTTGTTTTGTGCTGTGAAAACACGGGTCATCGTCTCCCAGGGCTCTACTGTAAAGAAGGGGCACCTCAGTAAGGAAATCAGATCTCAGCACTTGAGAACAATAAAGAAATACATTGTGCATGTCCAAACATTCAGCCTCCCGATACCTGGTCGGCTAAGTGACAACACAATCTCCCGATTCACACGACAGAAACGAAATCACCCACGGAAGGAAGTGAATATCGCTCTCGAGCCTCCCAACATACAGACTGGGGTGGCAGGGTGGGGGAAAGACAGGCTGCATTATTCTCCACGATCAATGGGAAGGATCACTTCTAAATGACACGCCGCTACAGGGTGACCGCCGCTTGACTGCTCCCAGAAATGACCCTCCCGTGCCAGCCACTACGTTTAAACAAACATAGCTTCTGCCTTTAGAATTTAAGGAAAGTCCTCTCTCTCTCTCTCTGACACATGGTTCCAAATGGCATCTCTGCAATCCTGGACCTACTGAGGCCCCCGTAAGGGGATGGATTCCAAAGAAGCAGACAGGAAAAGTGAGAGCTGCCAACCACAGAGGGTGTGGATTCACCTGGGAGCGTCCAAGAGGCCCCCGCACAGCATGGTGGGGGAGAAAAAGCAGGCCCAGGAGCTAGGCATCAGAGACCTAGACTGACTCTCCACTTTCGGCTCTTGGGCAAGTCACCCAACTGCTCCAAGCCCAGATTTCCACATTTGTAAAAGGAGACTCCTCCCCAACAACCCAACCCCTCCAGCACCGTCCTTGCCATACTCTCCCTCCTGACTCGAGGTTTATTTGTCCATCCGGCACAGGTACTTCTGGTACTCCCCGTCCTGCAGGGGCGGGGCTGGGCCTGTCCTATCACCGTACCATCCCCAGATGTTCCACCATGGGATCTATTTGATAAATGAAATTATATGAAAAGTTTTGGCACGTCACTTGACGGGAGCTCATCAAGTAGCCACTCACTGAGTACATGATACACAAACACATGAAGAAGCCCGGCTTGGGCCACAGCCACGTGGAGACCCGTCAACTCTTAGTCTCTGAGCCCTTGGGGCTCTGAGCCCATTTCTATCACGTGTCACATCTCCCACGGTGGGACACTCCTCCCATTACACATACACAGGGCCAGATGTCAAGCTTCAAACCCCCTGGCACTGGACCCACCCCAACCTTTTTGTCCAATTCTAGAACTTGAGCACACGCTTGAATATCCACGCTTGAAAATTCTCTTGAAAATTAACAAGACCTGCAAGTCCATTCTTCCCCAACTGGCCAAGCCTGAGTCAAAGCTGCCCCCCATGGAGCTCGCCTACTCAGGTAGCTCCAGAATCTCCCTCCCCTCACGCTCCTCCTACACTTTCAAGAGCAATTTCCAGCTGGGCCCTAGGTGGCCTTGAACAACCACAGTCTAATCACGACCTGGTACGAGTCTAAAGCTTCTCACAGTGCAGATTCAAAGGGCCTGGGGTTCCTGTGGCCCAGCTGGCTAACTTGGGAGATTCTTTTACGCTCTCCTCCAAACACCAAATAAGCACAATCCACCTCCTAACCTCTCCCGCAAACACTGCCTCTTCCAGATGCAGAGATTAATCCTGTCTCTTTCAGGCAGGTGGAAAACCAAATGCCTCTCCTGGCCAGGGCCAGAGAGACAGAGGAGAGAAAGGTGCAGAAAGAGCAGCCCTCACAGAAGCCACTGTGACAGTGCTGGGATCCCCGGCCAAGACAGTGGTTCAGGCATCACAAGCTCCAGCCATCAGAGAAAAGCAAGGCACAGTGGGGGCAAACGTGCCCCCACTCTGCCGCCACTCCCTCCTCCCATGTCCTGGATAAATTAATGCTGGCTGCTTGCTTCCACCACGAGCCAGCTCACTAGAGTCATGCAATGATCCGAAGAGAAAAGACAATGTTGAATTTCCTTCCCAGGGCCCTAGAGACGGTTCTCCTGGGGAGCCAGACCTTGAAGGGAAGGCCAGACCTGCAGTTCCACTTCTGGCTCAAATATACACCGAGGGATCCCTGGGTGGCGCAGCGGTTTGGCGCCTGCCTTTGGCCCAGGGCGCGATCCTGGAGACCCGGGATCGAATCCCACGTCGGGCTTCCGGTGCATGGAGCCTGCTTCTCCCTCTGCCTGTGTCTCTGCCTCTCTCTCTCTCTCTCTCTCTCTCTCTCTGTGACTATCATAAATAAATAAAAATTAAAAAAAATATACACCGAGAGGGAGACCACGGCAAGCGGCCTCACCTGGCTGGCTCACGCTCCCCATCCAGGAAGAGGCAGGAAGACCATTTTCCTGCCAGTCTTCCGGGAGTATTGTAGACAAAAACTTACCTGATTAAAAACTACCTAATTAAAAGGTATTTTTATTCGCTCGCTATTTTAAGCAAAATCCTATATGACTCCTAAGTATTTAGGTACCAATTAAACCATCCTGACTCAACATGCAGTTTGTAAAATTAATAAGTGCCATCTTCTGTAAGGGAGGATTCCTGATTTTGCAAAAGCGGGGGGCGGGGTGTGGGGGGGGGTCGTGGGCAGGAAAGCCAGGGTGAGGAGCCGAGTGGTAAGGTGCTAGAGAGGAACTTGGGGCAAATCTCCAGACCTCAGTTTCCTGCGGGGTGGGGGTGGGGGTGGGGGTGCCGCAGGGGGTGCAGATGCCCTCAAGGTGGCTTTCTGCTCCGTCGCCGGGTGGCTGCGCTCAGAGCAACCGCAGCTGATAAAGGGGCTGGGGACCCAGCGAAGAGCCTGGAACCTGAGCCCGCTGCTCCGTGTCACTGATCGGCGCGCCAAGTCCCTTCACGGGGCGTCCTGGGGCTTCCCGAGAGCACAGCTTCATGCCCCAAACTCCGTGCCACCAACTCACCCAGTGCACGCGGGGAACGGGGGAACGGGGGGTCCCCCCGCCACAGGAGCTAGTCTCAGCCTTGCCGCCTGCTTCTCCAACCTCCCCACGCGCGGCGCAGACATCCAGCCGCCAGCAGCCGGCAACCGAGCCCAGCCTTGGGGGCCGCCGGGCTCTGCAGCCGCGAGGGGGCCGGGCCGGGCCGGGCCGGGCCGGGGCGCGGGGCGCGGGGCTACGCGGGCCCCGGGGCCGCGACGGGGCGCCCCGCCCAGGACGCGGGCGGCTCCGAATCCTGAACACAAGCGCGCACACGCGCCGGCCCATCCGTTCGCCCCGAGGAGTCGCCAGGCGCTGTCACGGCTCTTCATTCATTCCCCAAAGGCGACGTTCGTCCCCCCGGGCGCCTCCCTCCCGCCACCGCGGGGGCCCCGAGGGGGCCAGGGGCGCCCCGCGGCGTCCGCGCCCGCACACTCACCCCGACGCCCCCGCGCCCCGGCACGATCGCAGGCGTCGCCCCCGCGCCGGGGCCGCCCCGCCCCGCCGAGCAGCGCCGGCAACCCCCGAGTCCCGGCGCCTCCTGAGCCGCGGCCGGCCGCGGGGGGGAGCGCGGGGCGGCGGGCGCGAGGACGGGGGAGGGGCCGGGAGCAAAAGTTCAGGCCGCTCGGGGCCCGGCCGCGCCCCCGTCTCCTCCCACAGCCGCCCCCGCGGGGTCCCCCCCCACCCCGGAGCCGGGTCCCCCCGGCGGCCTCCTCCGCCCGAAGCGGCCGCGGGACTGGAGCGGGAGCTCGGGAGGCGGCCCCCGCCGGAGCCGGGGACGCAGAGGCGGATGCCCCGCTTACCTGCCCGGGGCTGCGCCGGGAAACTTCCCCGAAGTGCGCGGGGAGCGGGGAGCGGGGAGCGGGGAGCGGGGCCGCCGGCTGGGGAGATCCCCGCCCCCCCACCGCCCCCGGCGCGCGCTCGCCCGCGGAGAGCCCCGGGGTGTCCGTGCGTCCGGCCTCCGGCTGTGCGCGGCGCCGCCACCCCCGCTCCCGGTCCGCGGCCCCCGAGCCCCGGCGGCACGCTCCCGAGCCAGGCAGGGGCCACGCGAGCCCCGGCGCCGCCGCCCCGCAGCCCTCCCCGCGGGGTCCCCGGCGCGCGGGGCGCCCGGAGGCGGCCGGGACGCGGCGGTCCGCGGGGGCCTCGGGGAGGCCGGGCCGAGCGACGCGGGGCTCCAACCTGCCTGGGCTCGGCGCGCTCGCAAGTTCATTGTCTGCCTGGGCCGCCGCCGCCGCCGCCGCCGCCGCCGCGCCGGGAGCGCCGGGGAGGGAGGCTGCGCGCAGCTCCGCCGGCCCGGACTCCCCACGCCCAGCGCCGCCGCCGCCCGCGCCGCCCGGGCCGGATCGCCGAGGGGCGCTGCCGCAGCCCCGAGCCGCCCCCCCCGCCCGCCCCGGCCCCGCGCCCCGCGCCCCGGCCCCGCGCCCCGCGCCCCGCGCCAACTTGTACCTGCGAAGCCCGAGCGCAGCCCCGGAGCCTGTGCGGCTCGGGCCCCGCGGGAGCGCGCCCAGCCCCGCGCCTGGAGCCCCGCATCCGGGGCGCGTCAACCTGACTCCCCGAGCGCAGGGAGGAAAAGTTTGGGAGTGACGTGCGGATGGCGAATGAAACCTCCGAAGAGAACCCTCCCCCCGCCCCATGTCGCGCTGACACCCAGCGGCTCGAGTCTGGAATGCGAGATCCAGGCGTGTGCGCCGCGCGGTGGGTTTGGTCCCCGCCCCCCGCCCCCCGCCCCTTCCAAGTAAACGCGGCTGGTGTGATGCGGTGATTCCAAATGGAAAGCAAACCGAAACCCCTCGGGTCTGCCAGAGACGTTTTTAGGAACTTGGCGGTCTGCAGCCAGCGCGTGCATTGGTATGCAAGGCCACGGCGCTGGTGGGTTCTGCGCCCTCTGTTGTATTTTTGCAGCCCGCGAAGGCGAAGGCCCTGCCGGGCTCCTGGGCCCAGCCCGCTTGCTTCTGCCGGGAGGGGCAGGCTCGGCGGGCCCCGGAGCCCTGCCGCAGTGGCCCGGACGCCGCGCCCGCTCCAGAAAACCACCTGGGCTGGCCGAGGCCGAGGAAGCGGCCCCAGGGATCCACTCCCCGACTCTTGACCCAAGATGCCATCGCTTAAAAAAATAAAAAAGACCCTGGATTTGGGAAGACTCAACTCCAGGGGCGCTTGGGGCACCGAGCCCAGCCTCTCAGGAAACCGGTCCAAGGGACTGGGAAGAAAGAAAAAAAAAAAAAATCTTTGTCTTCGGTCACACAGCCTTTTGCCTGCCCATGTCCCCGTGGCCACGGTCCAGCATCCTCGCGCTCAGAGGAGCCAGAAGTGAAGCTGAAAGTGTTTCCCAAGTGCTGCAGAGTGCTGGCCCTCGGCTGAAGGGGGCTTCCTGGGCCTGCCTTCCCAGCCCGCCTCTCCTCTGCTTCTGAAAATCTGATCTCTATTTCAGGAGGCTTCATCTCACTTCCCCTATCCACCCCCCCCCCAAACACCCTAGCCTGCCCTGGGGTCCTAAAATTGATGCTCAGCATCCCCGCCCCCCCCCCCAACTAACACGGAGGTCACAATCAGAGGATTATAACTGCAGATGGGGAGCTGGATGAGAGGGGAGTTCTTCAAAACTGTGTCTTGTTTTCCTGCAAATAAATGCCCCTTACATAAAATCTGCGAAGAAAGATTGATGCAAGAGGCCAGCCTCAGAATGGCAGACGGCATTGCTTTCTCCACGTAGACTCCACTTGGTGACTTTTGTTCATTATTATTTTTTTAAACAAAAACCTTTTTCTGAAAATACAATGAGCTGCTTTTTGCACGGTTCACAATTCCCAATAGATGATGATGCCATTTTTCAAGGTCTTATACACGTTGTGGCTTTAGGGCTTATTTATTAGCTCCCAAGAAAAGCCTGCCTTTCAGTGAAGTTTATATACTCAAGTAATTGCATCGAGGGACACAGTGCAGGGCGCTGTTAAAGAGGGCTAGTTGTACGGGGAGGCCCTGGGCCAGGCAGCTGTCAGACCAGAGTGTGCAATGGGTTTAAACAAACACAGGGAAGGTTCTATGGAAACACGCAGGAGGAAATCCCCTCCTGTAAGGCTGTGTGGAACATTATTCCATGGCCACACATACCTCCATCTTTCCTCTCCTCCCTCCAAGTAAACACATGACCCCGTTATGGAGATGGCGCTGGGCCCACCCGGATCACTTTCAAATTCAGGTGTCAGAAATCACGGTTGACACGGAGCAAATTGTTTTTAAGTAAAATCTCGGTACCACTTTGATACGAATTCCACTAGGGACTTTCCAAAAGTATTTATGCACGTGCCTGAGATTAACTGGAGGGCAATTTTTTGCCCTCCGCATTCATTTCACAAAATTATGCAAGAATTGCACTTTGTGTGTTATTCTGGAGAGTTGAGAGAACCCCCAAATGCCAGATGTGTGTCCGTGAGCGGATGGATTGACAGTGAGATGCGTAACTGTGAGGGATGTTGGTGCCAGTGTGACACTGGCAATTAATAATGGGTGGGAAAATGAAGATAATTTAACAAAACAAATATCCCCTTCCCCATGTGCACGCCCTTCCATAATTCTGGAGTTAAATTGCCCAGTTTCAAGCCATACCTCTGACACCTACTAGTCGGGTGTACGTGACTTTCTGTGCCTCAGTTGGGATAAATAATAGCATCTACTGGTGGTCAATCGAATGAAACTGATCCCATGGGGTTACACTGCTACACCCTAGTTGGGGCCTCAAAGAGCATGGAATATACTTCCCCATTCCTTGATTTTGGACTTGGCCATATGACTTGCTTTAGACAATGAGATCTTAGGGAATGTTACTGAATAAGAAGATTGAGATGTGTTGCAGGGCTAGGCTTGCTGTCTTGTACTCTGGTGGCTTATAATGAGATGATGTCACAAGAAGCCGCTGCCTCTTCCATCACAGAAGGAACACACATGGAGCAGACCTGAACTCAGCTGGTAGCCCGGAACCAAGTCACCCCACCTACAGCTGGCCACAGAACTGCCTCAGCCAACCTACAGACACATGAGCAAGGGGGAAATGCTTGCTGTAAGCCACTGAATGCCAGAGGTTGTTACGCAGCATTATCACGACAGTAGCTGACTGATGCATTCCCTTGGTGGGCTCGTGTGAAGATTCATGACAAAACGCTTGAAAAATACTAAGCACAATTTTTGGGACATAGTAAGAGCTCAGAAATATTTGTTGTGATTAGCAATCAACATTATTGAAAGTAATTCCATCCATAACAGTCACATAATAAACTTTTTGACCAAGGTTGTGAATAGGCCCTTACACACTTGTGAACAAGTGAACCAGTATTGCTCAAATAAAGACTATACAAGACACTACAAGGACATCAGAGACTGAAAAGCCAGGGGCCTGCCATGGTGACCGAGTGACATTCACTCACTCCCTCATTCATTCAGCAGCCATTCCCAAACATCTGCTCCATGCCACACACTGGAGTAAATGTTGGAGCCACTAAGATGTCTGTGTCTCCATCCCCTCCTAAACATGAGGACCTCTGGAGCCCCACCATGTGAGAAGCGCTCTGCTAAGCACTTTTGCATGCTACATCACTTGACCCTCACCACAGCCTCGTAAGCCAAATATGAGCCAGTATGACTGATCCTCATTTCTAGGCAAGAACAGAGGCTTTGAAACCAAACCACATAGGGGAAGGGCCCAAATCTGTAGATTCGTGTGAGCTGATGCCAGTGAATTCAATTTAATGGCAGGCACGCCTGATGGGATAGTGTAGTGAGAACCAAGTAAAGGGGTGAACACAGCTTGGGCCACTCTCCATGCCAGCTATGTGCTAAGTACTGGGGAAATACTGAGGCTCAGAAGACCCAGGTTCTGCTCCAGCCACCAGCTGTCTCCCTCTCTGGACTTTGTGTCTCCAACTGGAGGGGGAAAGACTTGAAAGCTACAGTCTGGCATTTTACAGAGCTACAAATTCAAGAGGAATTGTTGTAGAAAGTCCCTTCTTTGGGGATATTAAGGGATGTGAATCATGATTCTGGGAACTGGCGCCATCATTTGAAAGTGGGGACCACAGACCACTAGGGAGGAAAGGAAACAAGGCCAAGCCTTGAGCACTACTCATTATAGGCCCCAGCTCAACCAACAGCAACCTTGTCATTGGTCATTCCACCGTTAAAGTATTGAGGCTTGAGCATTTGGGGTCTTCCAGGCACCCCCTACTAAAATGTAAAAGCCCCCAAAAGAAAACCCATGTTAGATGCCTAAAGGCCCTAGTTATCAGCTAACACCTTCATATTCAATTAGCACATTAGCAGACACTGGGATGGAGTTTCAGTTCACTTTCACCTTGTTCCCACAGCTGAGGTGGTTTCCAAAGGGACTGCATGGGGGTGGAGGGCTGCGGGGAGTTGCCTATGTGTGGAGGGCCTGTACGTGGGTGTGAGGGGCCCATGGGGACCAGCGCACAGGCTCTCAAATGCAGTTCAGCGGACCTGGCTTCGGATCTCCACCAACAGCAACGACCTGCCTCCAGCCCTGTGACTTTGACAAATTTAGACTGCTCGGTAACCTGAAGTGCATTTCAATTTCATAAATTTAGAAATGCTCTGGTTAGACAGATCCCTTCTGCAGTAATGCATCCATTAAGTGCACTTTACGCCAATTTTGGTATGCTAATCCATCACAAATCGACGTGAAATTTAGGTTCTTGTGAAAATTTCCTACACCCGATCCAAAACCTCTACTGGATTTAGGGTAATAACAAATTGTGGTTCCTTAAAGCTGCAGACTTCAGCTCTGCATTGAAACTCCCACGAAGAAAGGAACGGGGCCAGTTTGAGACCGTCATTGGAACCTGTGTGTGCACCCTGAGCTCGGCCTCCTCCCCCAGGGACAGCTCCCTTACGCCTTAGGTGCTGCTGCAGCCTGAAAGCATCACCTGAGAAGTCTGAACTGAGTGGCTGGAAGTCCTGGAAGGGAGGGCAGAGCAAGGTCCTGTGAGTGTCAGCATTCCCGGCCCCAGCTTAGAGCCTGGCCTTGCAGGCACACCCGCTAAATGCCTGGTCAATGACCCAGCTGGAATCTCCTGGCTTGATTGGTGCCTTGCCCATCAGACTTAGCTTCCTACGATTCTCACAATTTTCTAGAATCAGATGTCTTCCCCACCAAAGAAGATCGGAGAGCCCAAAAGCTGGGGCAGAAACCTGAAGGCAAATCAGTTGAGGACCCCAGCTGATCTGAGCCACGACAGCACCATGGAAAGAGCCTCTTTATCCTGCAGCGTCTGAGGCCAGGAGTGAATGAAGGGCCAGTAATTGGCGATACAAAGAACGTGCGGGTGATGAAAGAGACATAATGTCATTGCTGTCACCGCCAGAGACTCTGCTGCTACCAATTGTGGAAGGGCAGCGCCGATTAACTAGGTGTTTCTAGCTGCATAATAGACATTTTGCCAATAAGGTGAAAGTTTATGGCCGGTAGCATTTTCACTTGCTTCTGTCCTAAGATCTACAATCTACCCAACAGCAAAAATGAGCTGTTGACTTGGTAAATTTAGAGCAGCATTGCCTGCCCTAGATGTGAAATACCTGAGCCTTCTAAATACATTTCATTCTCCTGGCTGAGCATTTAATGCAGTCA